GACAAAGATTTGTCCTGACTGTGGGCAAGGCAGGAAAACTTTAGCTACATACTCTGCTATGGGAAAATGCACATACACTCATGTATACAAGAAAGCCATAGAAGAAACCCTTCACTTTCACAGAAGAAAAAAAAATTTCATTTCCAATAATGGCTTTAAAATAAACATAAAACCAAAATGGAAAGTTACAGATAACAGAGAGATACTGTTTGTCCTGGTTGGTTCTTTCTGTTGTTTTGTCAACTTGACACAGACTGGAGTCATTTTGGAAGAGGAAATCTCAATTGAGAAACCACCTCCATCATAATGGCCTGTAAGCAGGTCTGTGGGACACCTTCTTGATTAATGATAGAAGTGGGAGGTGCTACCCCTGGGCAGATGGTCCTGGGTTGTATAAGAAAGCAGGCTAAGCACGGCATGAGAGCAAGCCAGTAAGCAGAACTTTTCCATGGCTTCTGCTTCAATTCCTTCCTGCCCTGACTTCTCTTCATGATGGACTGTAAACTGCTAAGTGAAATAAACCCTTTCATCCTTTGGTGTTTCAAATGCTCAAGCCAGGCTCAGTGTCTCTCTCTTCCTGGGGCCTGCTGATAGGAATGTAGAACTCTCAGCTACTGCTTTAGCATCATGTCTGCCTGTGTGCCACTGTGCTTTGCATTATGACCACAATAAACCAAGCCTCTGAAACTCTAAGCCAGCCCCAATTAAATGTTTTCCTTTAGAAGAGGTGCCACTGCATGGTGTCTCTTCACAGCAATAGAACACTGACTAAGACAAGTTTGTTACACACACATGTGCACATGCATATGGAGATCCAAGGTCAACAATGGGTATCTTTTTCAATCACTCCCCACCTTTATTATCTTCGAACTCACAGAGATCTACCTGCTTCTGCCTCCCAAGTGCTGGGATTAAAGACGCACCACATGCCCAGCTGCCATCTTTATTTTTTGGAGTATTATTTTTGAGTCTCTCACTGAACCTGAAGTTCACTGATTCAGCTAGGCTAGCCAACCACTAAGCTTCAGGGATCCACTTGCTCCACATCCTCTCCTCCAATCTCAGGTTAGCGGCACACACTGCTGTGCCCAGTGTTCCCATGGGCTCTGAGGATCTGAACTCAGGTTCTTGTGCTTGAGCAGCAGACACTTTACGGACTGAGCTACCTTCTCAGAACCAATTTACTTTCTTTCTTTTTCTTTTTTTTTTTTTTTTTTGGTTTTTCGAGACAGGGTTTCTCTGTGTAGCTTTTGCGCCTTTCCTGGAACTCACTTTGGAGACCAGGCTGACCTCGAACTCACAGAGATCCACCTGCCTGTGCCTCCCGAGTGCTGGGATTAAAGGTGTGCGCCACCACCGCCCAGCCCAATTTACTTTTTAAAGGAACAAAGCAAACATGAATTTCATCCTCAGGGAGTATATTTCTAATTTATACCATTTCCAGTTACTCCTTTGCAGTAAAACATAAATATCACAAGTTGGCAGAAAACTACTATATTATTTTGCTTTACTTATAACCCAATTTTCTCCAAAAAAAAATTTTTGGAGGGTTGACAAAGGTCAAATTTGGGGCCTTAGGCAAGTACTTTACCACTGAGCTGCATCCCCAGCAAAAAGGTTTGTTGTTTTATTTTTGTTTGAAACCTGGTCTTTCTATGTACCTGGCTGTCCTGGTACTCACTATGAAGAACAGGCTGGCTTGAACTCATAGAGATCTGCCTGACACTGCCTCCTGAGTACTAAGACTAAAGGCATGTGCTACCATTCCTAGCAAAGTTTTTTCATTTTTTTTAAACCAGGAAAATAAATAACTCAAGAATAAATTATTTGGTTATCATAAATATGAGGCTTTTTTAAAATGCAGTCATATTTTTAAATATTTGCTCATGATCATCTGTTCATGTAGTATGATTGTTCAAAACTTACCATCATTATACTCTTGATGATGATAAGAAACATGATACCTTCTTGGATATGTTCCTCCTTTCCCAAACTTCTCAAAGATAGGGTTATCATAGTCTGTTAAGACATAAGAATGCTATCATTAAAAAGGCAAATGTTTTTAGTAATGAAAAGCATATTTATCATTTTTAATTCTTTCAAAATATTTCCCCCTCCCGGCCAAAGCATGATATAAACATTAGAGTATGTAGAATTTATAATCTAACCTGAAAACTCCTGATGATTATCTGGGTAGCTCTGTGCCCTAGGCATCCGTGATTTGGGATAGTTTTCTCTATAAATAGAAAATATAAGATTAAATTAAAAGAGGGTATGTAATAAAACATTTTTTAAAATCTTTAAGCAATATCTATATATTTGTATATGTGTTCATACTGTGTGTGTGTGTGTGTGTGTGTGTGTAAAGGAGCTCACTTAAATACTAATGTAAGTTTTTAAAAAGAGAAACTTGTTTGAAACACTCATTTAGTACACACAGACAGAAAGCCAAGCTTAAAATCAGCTACTACATTCAGGGGTAAGAATGATACATTTGGAACCATGGAGGTTTATTTGAAGTACCTGGATTTCAGCTTAAGTTGAAAGATATTTTTTTTCTCTGAATCTATACAAAAGACATATAATTTAACTTATCAAACATTAATGACAAATATTCAAGTACAAAATTCCTTTCTTTTGGGGTAGGGTGGGTGTGAGTAGACAGAGTAGGTTTCCCGAGGCAAACACTGACAGACAGGTTCCACAGGTATGGGTAGAGGAAAGTGTACATGAATTCCCAAATGTCTATCTGTTCTCCAAAGAAGCCCAAAGGAAATAAACAAGTGAATCATCTAATACTAATTCTGTGCTACAGAAGACTGCAAAGAGCAATGTCCTTCTGAGAACAAGAGAGGGGACCTTACAAATGCACATCATGCACACACGGAATAAACAAATACAATTTTTAAAAAGCAACTGCCAAAACCAAACATGAGAAATTTCTTAACAGTTTCAAGAGCTGCTATATAATAAACACATGTGAAGTCTAAGTGTGCACTTGCTTCAAACAGGATTTTGACAAGTAGAAATAGAAGAAAAACACATAAGACAATTAATAAAGATATTGAACTCCATGAGGTTAAAAGATTTATTCACAATATAGAAAACTTTACTTGCTGTTTGTGTAGACAATTATCAATCAGCTACATTCTTCAGAATATAGAATAAAAGAATTATTGATAACTCTACATGTACCAATATATACTAAAAAGCAGAACTATAATCATCATTACCCATCCAAAGGGCTATCAAGTGATGGACAGCTTCCTGAGCCAGAATTTTCAGGGCTGCTTAAAGACAATGGATCCAGCATCTAAGAAAATAAAGAGTTCCACCATGACCCTGTCTGATAATAACCAAGTTATTTTTTTTTTTTAAAACTGCTTGACACATAATATAACATAAACCTCATTCATTTAAAGTATATGATTCAATGGCTTCTAGCATATCAAGAAATGTACATAACTTTCCCCACAATTTTAGAATTCCTTTTAGGACCTTCAAAAGAAACTCTGTAACAAATAGCAATCACTTTCCAGAATTACTCATTTTTAAACATCCTGAATAAACAAGCTGTGACTATGAAATTTTCTAAGGGAAAAATAAAGTTTTTCTGTAGTCAAGTAATTGAAGCTAAAGTAATTTTGCTTATTGAAAACTGAACAATGACCCTGTTTTATTGAGATAAACAATACATTGACTGCTACATTAGGAGATGTAAAATGCTGCAGTTCTGTGGGCATTCAGTGCAATATAAGGACCTAGCAGCAACTCCACAAAAACATCTGAATACTACAAAAGCTGAAGCATTTTTAAAATGTTCTGAACAGTTCACAAACCTCAGCTTTATAAAGTTATAATTTTACTCTATCTTTAAAGTGTTCATTAAGTCAGGCAGTGGTTGTGCATGCAATGCATGTCTTTAGCCCTCTACAGACAGGTGGATCTCGGAGTTCGAGGCCAGTCTGATATAGTTCCAGGACAGCCAGAGCTACACAGAGAAACTCTATCGCAAAAAACCAAAAAAGTAAATAAATAAAAATAAATAAACAAAATAAAATGTTCATTTAAAAAAATCTGAATGTTATTTAACCTAAGATTACAAGCCAAATGTGTCATGGATGATCAATATAAGAAAACTAGATAGTTCCAGTAATTTTTTACATACTAATATGAAAAGGCATATATAATTAATGAGCAGTTTCTAATAATTTTATTTCACTTAAGAAGATAGAGGATTAGAGAAAATGTGTGTATACGCACGCACGCACGCACACATCCCACCCTAGGTGCCTGCCAAATTACACTGGTCCTGACCAGTACCTCTTTACATATAGTGAAAAACAGTATCCAGTCCGGCTTACTTGGTCCATGCTCTCTGGAATGAACTCTCCTTCACTGTTGATGCTAGTGAATGACCCATTCCGGGCAATCTCGTGTAGTTCATCTGGAATGTATCCTGGGGGAGGGGAACTTCTATCTCTATTAGTGGGACCTCAGAAAGAAAAATTGTAAGTTTCATTATTGTTAGCAAGCAAACTAATTTTTATTTCAATTAAATAGGTCATATTTATAACAACATAAAAATAACTTTAGCAAAATGAAATTTAGTGTTTACAAAAACTTAATCAGAATATTTAGGTTCAGAGTTTTTTACAGCCTAAATTCACACTCTACAACCTCATTAGAATATGCTAATTTACACCCAAGTTTTTCTGGCTGTTGACAACTATATCATGGGCCAATAACTGCTTTTGAATTTCCAAAGATAATTTGTATCCGCTAGTCTTAGTAAAAGAATAAGGGCTCTGGAATCAGGCATGGTCTAAATTCCAGTGCAGGTTACCATATTAGTGTCTTTGGAAACTGGTCCGTTTTCACACCAATGAACAATGTACTCCATCACTTTTTGGTAAGAATGCTGTTGATGGTAAATTCATTTCCCACAGACACGTTATGCAATTCAGTCCCATGAGAGTCTTTCTATTCACTCTCTTTAATCTTTAGAAACCTGAAGTAAGATTGCTTCTTAGTCATTTGGCTCCTATTTTGTATTTAGTATCCTGGATCTTATTTTTTATTACTTAAAACTATGCTTTTGTGGCAAGCTATATTCCTTGCATTTAAAGCTCTTCAGGTGTGCTGCCAAATACATTTAATCCAAGCACCCAAGAGGCAGAGGCAGGCAGATCTCTTAAATTCAAAGCCAGCCTTATCTACCTAGAGAATTCCAGATGAGCAGCCTATACAATAAGACCCTGCCCCACCCCAAAAAAACCTTTGTACTTTAAGAAAAAATGGAGGAGAGCCTGGCATTCATTTAGATAGTTCACTTAATTACTCACAACTCTTATGAAACAATAATCTGCCTTATTTTTACCTGGTTCACAGGAAACAATACTTTATTAACAGAGTTTTCTTCTCTCCTTGCCGTTTTTTTTTTTTTCTTTAAAAAGTGAACAGATATGTAAGTGGTGTAATCATTTAAATTCTATTTAAGTTTAAAGGAAAAAAGCATGTGTAAAGGGGTCCTTTGTTAAGTAGAAGGAGGAGCACGAGAACACCTATTAGATGTGCAGAGACCTCATCTGCTGTCTGACAAGGAGCGTGGGCTGAGTTTTGAGTCCGGGTTCATGTAGACTTTAACAGTTATGGCCACAGTCATCACAGCATCCTGACATTTTAATTCTATCTGGATACTCTTTTAAAAAAAATAAATAAATAAAAGGGCAATATACTCAACTACTAAGAGGAGACTGAGAAAAGGCAGCTATAAAAGTTCTTCCGATTACTTGACAACTCTTAATTCTTAACATTCATTGTAATGGGCATGTTAACACACTCAGAAATTCTGCACAATTTTCAGTTTTTTTTCTTATTCTGGCACCAAAGTCAAACAATAAAACACTTACTAGTAGGTTAATATTGAGGAATTCAAAATGGCAATTTAACTAGTGCATTTAAGCTTTTTCATCTAACAACTGAAATGAAGTGGCTGTTTTCACTTTACTTCTACAAAGAAAGAAATGTACAGTTAGTAGCAACTGTGCCTCCAGTTTGAGAAGTGAAGCGAACTTTACAAGTGCTCTCTTTGTGGCTTTAGTCCCATTGTCCAAAGGCAAGGGCAAAGTTACTGGTTCATGGTCAGAGTGCCAGAATCTGAAATCAGCTCAGGTAGTCTGTCACTGTTTTGTTTCATTTTTTTAGTCCTATGACGTACTTCTGAGTGAGGACAAGCCGTGTCTATTACGTATCATCCCTGTGGGTTATATCTCTAGCTCTCTGAAATAGACTCATGTGAGACAAGACATTTACAATAGAAAGATCATAAAACAGCTTGTCCTGCAAAACAAAAGAACATCAACACCGGCTCTAGGCACTCACACGATAATTCCATCTTCTCATCCGCTGTTACCACCCTTCTTCTAGGCGAGTCATTTTAAGATTTTCACCCAAACGTCTCACTTTGTCCTGTGCTCTTGCTTTCTCTTTTATTCACCCGTCTCCCCTCTTCTACTTTCCCTTTCAAATCTATAATCAATCAAGAGCTCATGCTACCTGGAATGACTATATCTCTGCCCTATCTGTTAAGAACATTTACATCAGCTGTTCTTTAAGCAACAAGACACTTTAATCTTGTCAATTTTTTTTTGTATTTTTAATGATGCTTTAAGAATTTATTCTATTACCTTTATTTATGTGTATGTGTGAGTCTACATGTATGCACGCACATGTGAGTGCCAGAAGAGGCCAGAAGATGGTGTTGGATCCCCTAGACCAAGAGTCACAGGTGGTTGTGAGCCATCTGACACTGGTGCTGAGAATCCAACTCTGGTCCTTTGCAAGAACAATAAACACTCTTAACCACTGAGTCAGCTCTTCAGCAACTTGTCAATGTTTTTTATGACAACAAGCATGGAGGATTCAGAACACCTCTGCCTACCCAGGCTCAATAAGGCCACCTCAAAATATAGCACATGGGATCTTTATTTCTTTATATCATAAGCTTAGGTATAAGGAATTCATTATTTGTGATAAATAAAACTGGATACTAAGGAAGCAAAAATAACACAATCTAGTTATTCTTAGCCGTTTTTATACTGTAGCATATTCTGATAATATCTAAAACCCTAGAGAACTTAGAAACAAGAGTCCAGTCTACTCATTTCAATGTCTTAGTTACTTCCTCTCTTTACTTGTATCATTAAAACCTCTTCAAGATTTTATTTGAATTTTGAATATTAAAATCTCTGTATAAATAAGAACTTTAAATTGGATATTGCTAGTCCTACAATATGTGAAATTAATTTCTCAGGAACAACAGTTACGACAAAGTAGTTAAAGTATATAACTGCAGAAAGCATAGAGACAGGGTGCTATTTATCAGGTATATAGTTCACGTTATCTTACATTAAAAGATGAGAAGGATTTGAGAAATCACTCATTTCCTTATTCAGACCCTGGTTTTCTCACCTACTACAGACAGCCGCTTCTTCCTCTCTGCACCAAGTTGTGTATTACTCAAATCTTCTGATGACGGTGACGGCTCTAAATTAGCAGTCTGGAAGAGAAAGGGGCAGTAAACGCTATCTTCCCATTGATGCTTTTCATGGAACCCTCCTCTTACCAAAACACAGCCTAACTGTTCTCCATTCTTGGTGGGCCTTTTCAAATCTACTCTTACAATTTTAATTTACCAAGAGAGTGGCCACAAGCCTACCACCCCAGCTAGCTAGAAGGTGAGAGCAAGAAGATCACTTGCAACCAGGAACAGAAAGGAAGAAAGCAAGAAAGGAAGAGAAGGAGGGAGGGAGGGAGGGAGAAGGACGAAAGGAAAGTGGGAGGTTGAAGGGGTAGAAGATGAACAAGATATTTCAGGGCCAGTAAGATGGCTTAGCAGGTAAGCATACTTGCTGTCAACCCTGATGACCCAAGTACAAACCCTGGAACTCAACATGTGGGAAGAAGAGAACTGATCTTCATACATGTGCCTGTGGCATGCACACACCTCACCCCATCCACACGAAATAAATGTAAAAGGTAAAAATAAAAAATGGACATTTCAATTCTAACAATTTTCCCAAGCTGCCAGTTTCTATTCATTTCACGTGTATAATATATTCTTGTTTGTAACTCTGACTATGTAGTTTTGAGGAACAAGGATATTAAGCTACAGCAATGAAAGTATATGAATTCACATTCTATAAATTAAAATATATTCAGTGGTTACAAGTCTTATAATCTTCAGTGAGAAACACAACCCCAATTCATACCTGTGTATTTCCATTTGTTACAAGTAATATCTTGAGACTCTTCATATGAATACTCCGGTCCAGCAGTTCCACAGCTTTGTCTAAGTCATCTTGAGTAGTTAATGGAATTACCAACTTAAATAAAAAAAAAAAAAAGAGAGAGACAGGAATCATGCAGACATCACACCAGGTCAAGCCCTTCCAGTACTGGGGAACTGTCCATTTCAAAACACCTTGTACTCTATTACTACAATGGAAGTCTAAGGAGTATACGCATCTCTATCCTCTATTCCAATACCACAAAGTCTCAGAATGATGGTAAAGAATCAAAATGGGCTCTGTTCCGCTTTTCCTCCCACGAGGTATGAACCCTTGACACCCCTCTCTCTGTCTCTCTCTCTCTCTTTCTCTCTTTCCTATCTTTTCTTCATCTCTCTATTATAATACACTCTCCATGTGGAAAAAAAAGTCAAAATGGTTCCCTTATTGATCATTACCTTCTAGTAAATATATCTAAAAATTAATTTTCTGTGATATTTTATAACATTGCTAAATTTAAGATATAGTAAGTATATTCATGCTAAGAACACTGAAGGATACATACACAAATTATTTAAAATAAGGTACTACTTTTCATCTGCACAAATAAAAAATTCTTAGTTCTTTTTCTAGTAGCAACCACAGGTTTACACTCCGCCTGATGTGTTTACAATGTAACAAACCTTGAGTATCAGTGACAGCTGCCATGGGAAGGTATCATCAGCCACATATCTGCAATCTACAGTTCACCTGCATTCATCTCTGGTCCTGGTAACTGACCACTACACTCTAGAACAAGTAAGCTAAACAAGTAATCATCTCAGGGACTCCTCAGTGTGAAATCTACCTTCATTAGTACTCTCTCATGGCTAAGACGTTAGGAAGGACAAAAGCACCCAAGAGGCCTATGAAAAAAGTATGATTCACATAATTGACAAAATCAAAATCTTTTATTGTTTTACATAAAAACTTTCTTGCAGCTTAAGAGGATTGTCAATGATATAAAAGTATGTATCATTTCATTGGAAGAGGAACACAATGAAAACAAATGGACATATGCCGCCACCCTTATTAACCATCTTTAAAAAGCAAAGCATGTGAAACATATTTAAATGTAAAGTCTACTCAGCTGAGAGTCCTCTGCAGTATAAACCCCTGAAGATAGGGTCCCTTCCAGCAGAATAGCCAAGAGCAGGCAGGCCCTTGGCAAATGCTGTTCAGTACATATCACAGGGTGAGCACTAGAGGTGCACCCAAACGCAGAAACTATTATGGTATGTAATCACACTCTGTAGAGTGTTTTATGAAAAGTGTCTTTTTTTTTTTTAGATTGACAGAAGTTTAAGGCCATCCTAAGATATACAGTGAGTGCCAAGTCAACCAAGGTTACACAACAAGATTCTGTCCCCTAAAAAGTTAATTGATAGAAAAAGAAAAAAGGAAAGCTGTCAAGTGTAAATATAAACCAGGACTACTTTGAACTGTCTTATACTCTGCTTACATTTGTCTATTTTGTACTTAAAATTTTATTCCTAATTTCTATTGGCAGCTAATTTTGTGTTAGGACACATCATCTTAGTCTCATTTCCTACTGCTGATAAAATACCCTGGGAGTCGGGGGGAAGGGAAGAAGGAATGGGCAAAGGGGTGGGAAGGTAGGGTGTCTTTGTTTCCCTGAGAATCATGTTAGGAGATAATGGTTCAAGGTCAAGTTATTCATATGGAAAAGAATCTAGGTAAGAGATTGAGGAAATGGGGCTGGCCATGAAAAGTGCATTCTCCAGAGCGCTGCTCCTTTAGGACAGTCAATCATCTACCCCTCCATGTGCTTCACCCATGTCTACATCTAGAAAACCCAAAGAACCCCAGGCTGGCTGCTGAAAATCTGGCCAGAATGATACAGTACCCAGAAAAGACTGGGTAAGACTTTTCATATGCTTATGAATAATTAAAACCCCAAATTAACTGAAAAGCAAAATGTCAAGATATTGCTATAGTACAATATTGATTACTCTGTTCAGAGATCCTGTTTAAGATATAGATTTGTACTTATGAGAACATGTTCTTCTGCCTTCTTGGGACTCCTATGCAGGTCCTGCTGTGGCTCTGTGTCTGTAAGCTGATGCAGGCAGAAGGGGCTGACACAGGTTGGCGGGTGTTGCTGCAGGCCCTGGAGCTCCCAAAGCAATGAACTGTCTTGTATGCGGCAGAGAAAGTATTCTATGTTGCACATAAGCATTCAGACTGTTCTGTTTGTCTTCCATGTTTAAAAGAGTGTTTTCATCTCTGAGCTATTCTGAAGTATTCTATTTGCATGGGGGCTCCATGTGTTTTCTTAGACAAAGTTTTTCTATGACTTCTCTTGTCACCCCATCCCCACTGGGACACTTTCTAGTCACACTGTTCTCAAGGTGATCCATCTTCCACTCTTCCCTTGAAACTATAAGGTTGCCTTGAAATACGAAGTCTCTGCATAAACAGTACCTCAGCTAGTTTTTCCTTAGTAGCATCAAGAGGATACTCACTGACTTTTTTGGTTTGGGGTTTTTTGAGACAGGTCTCTACAGAGACCAGGCTGTCCTGGAACTCACCATGCCTGCCTCTGCCTCCCAAGTACTGGGATTAAAGCATGCACCACCACTCCCAGCTTTGACTTTTCTTTCATTCACTGTCACAAGACTATGCATCGCCTTCAAAAATCTTCAGCTCACTTACTGTCTGCTTCTTTTGCAAATCGGTAATGCCTACCCCATAAAAGGCCGCAACTCATAAATCATTAACATTAGGGCTGGAGAGATGGCTCAGAGGTTAAGAGCACTGGCTGCTCTTCCAGAGGTCCTGAGTTCAATTCCCAACAACCACATGGTAGCTCACAACCATCTGTAATGAGATCTGGTGCCCTCTTCTGGCTTGCAGGGATATATGCAGGCAGAACATTATATACATAATAAATAAATAAAGAAAAAAAAATCATTAACATTAGGTCACTAAAAAGTTTTTCCAAAGAGTAAAAAAAAATTAAAAATTTTAAGATCCCACAAACAGTAAGAAAGTCCAGTTACCATCTAATACAATTCTAATCTCAAGATTAAAAGGGGGTTCCCAAAAACAGTGAGCCCTCAAGACCACATGTACTGACCCCAAACATAAATAAGATGACTCGGTGGTTAAAAGCACTAGCTACTCTTCCACAGGACCAGGGTTCAATTCCCAGCATACAAATGGCAGCTCACAACTGTCTGTAATTCCAGTTCCAGGAATCTGGTACCCTCACACCAATACACATGCAGACAAAACACCAATGCACATAAAAATAAATAAAACATATTTAAAACATATATAGAGGAATAAAAAAGCATCCTAAGCAGTATCACAATGATCCTAAGTTTTAATGAAGTGGTCTGACTGTCAGAGCTCTATGGGCCCCGAGAAAGTAAACTGACTGAGTACACAGAGTAAAAGGAAAAATGAGAGCAGAAGACAGCAAGGTGATGCCCACTTCTTCCTACTGCATGTTCTCACTCAATCATCTGCAAGGAGCATGTCCACTCAATACGGTAAAACTTACCAATCTGTCACATTCCTCCATCTAATGTACCACTCCTTTACTAACTAGACACCAAATAAAAACACAATCTCTTACGCGAATACATTAATTTTCTAAGATAAAAACTACCAAAGTGAAATGGTGCATGTTTACCTCGTTGTTGGTATAGTGCAGATCCATAGACTGCCCAAAGGCAACTTTAGACTTAGACCTCAGATCTTCTAGTTTAACTGGTCTGGTAACCTGCAAGATTCTATATGAAAATAATTTTGAAATATTTTATTTTGTTTGTCATAAACAATATACTTACAACAGTTCTATTTTGTTATATGAAAAAATTAAGGGTTGAAGAGATGGTTCAGCAGTTAAGAACACTGGCTGCTCTTCCACGGGTCCTGGGTTCAATCCCCAGCATCCACATGATAGCTCACAACTGTCTTTAACTGCTATTCCAGGGGATCCAACACCCTCACACAGACAAAACACCAATGCACATAAAAATAAATTTTTTTAAAAAGCTGGGAGGTGGTGGCACACGCCTTTAATCCCAGCACTCAGGAGGCAGAGGCAGGCAGATCTCTGAGTTCAAGGCCAGCCTGGTCTACAGAGGAAGTTCTAGGAAGTCAGGGCTACACAGAGAAATCCTGTCTCAAAAAAACAAAAGCAACAAAAAAAAAAAAAAAAGAAAGAAAGAAAGAAAGCAAAAATTATAACACACTTTTAATAAAATACAAAAATTTTCAATATAAAATTTAGAATAGAACCAGTAAAATTTGTTCTATGCTAATTATAATTTTTAAAAAGTTTTAAATTTATAATCACATAAATATTAAAGACCAATGTAAAGCATCCACTTAGGAAAATAAATTTAATTAACTATGTGACATATGTGTAACAGAGCACAATGAAATTGTTAAAAATAATAAGTATCCATCCTGTAGAGATGAAAGTTTAATTTCTGGACCCTTATCAATTCACCATTTTAGCACACATACTATACAAGCATCTCTAAGACATCTTCAAGGGACTGCAGTAAAACAAACTCATGATTATGGTATTTACTTCTTTTGTTCCTACAGCCTGGCCGGATCAGAGGACATGCACTAAGTCTAGAGAGTACCATGTTAGAATTACTGCTTCTTGGGGAAGAAGGCAGTTCCGTGTTCACTTTATGTCATCTCAGGGCCTATCACATACTAAGGACAGAGCTGAGGGAATGGAAAAGCTAGCAAATACCCAGCAAATAATCTCAAATAAGGAATACATTAGATATTAGTTTTACAGTTTGTCAGGCATACTTTTTTTTTTTCAGTATCTCTGGTGAATTGTGTTCACATCTTCAAGTTATATGACTTGTGAGCCATTTTAAATTCCTTAAGACTGACAGGACTTCAAGAACATCATGAGTCACTAATAACAACAAACTGTCTCTTCTGTAACTCCTGTTAGGTCTTTTTATCAGCTACTTTGCCCTGAGGTATAGATACCAAGTCGACACCAGGTATAGAAGGCTAGGCTTACATTCCTGCTACATAAATAGCCTGCAGCCACCATTCTAACTCACTTGTACAACCTTATTAACAAAATACATGTCACAGCATCCAAATCTCTTGAGAACAGTCAAAAATTTTACTCGGTAAAAATAAAAGTAAACAGTAAAACTTTAAAGTGTGCATTATAAGGTGATCTTATTTACTTCCCGATATTGCAAAGCAGCACATTCAGTATTTCCAATGGTTAGCAGGCATTTTGACACATTCTATTTCTCCTCAGTCTAGGTGAATGTCACACATTACCAAAGACTATTCCATTCTTAATTTCAAACCCCAAACTTCACTCAAATCTAAAAAGATTCTTTAATAGCTTAATTGGAATATACGTTTTATTATTTAATTGATGTGTAATGTTTCCTTACCTTTTTTCTCCTCTATGTTCAAATTTGACTCGGACATCATTCTATAATAAAATGAAGATATCGGTCATAATCGTGCAGAGACCAGATAAATCTGAAGTCTTTTTTTTTTTTTTTTTTTTTTTTAGCCTATTCATTTAACACAGAGCAGAAGAAAGGGGGTTTCACTTTCAAGGTGTAATTCCAATCACCTGATATCTGCCAAAAAAAACTGAGCTGAGAATTACTGTTAGATCTGACAACAGGAAAGAGCACCAGTATCTCCTCCTGCTCGAATGACCTGAACCTAAGGACATACAGAATGCTACACTGTAGACCTTCCTCCTCTATAAGTTTCAAGGCCTCTGGACATGTTTGTGGGTTTGCTTGTTTTTCCTTATTAAATTCAGAACTTTCTCCTTTTCTCTTAAAGGAAGAACTTTAAAGCTTCTTTGCTGCATATTCAAATCGTCAGTATTTTTACTCTCAGATTTCGGTAGTCAATTCCCTAAGTTAAACAGCTTCTAGGTAACAAACAGATAGGTAGCATACACAACATGGATCAACACACACAGAGGTATAATTCATGTCCGAAGCAAGTACAGCAGGACGGTGTGAGATTTCATTATGCTACTTCAAACGGCACAGAATTTAAAACTTATGATTTGCTTATGTCTCCAACATTACATCTGTTGTTTTCTGACCCAAGCTGAGCATGAGTAACCGAAAGTCCGGGAAGGAAAGACAGCGAAGGGGACCCTAAGATTTCTGCTTCCCGTGCTAGCTGTCCCATACTAATCCTGTTTATATGAATCAAAATCACCACATTTCTAAGTATCCAGAAGAGACTTATTTTATCTTAGATGCTTGAAGAAGAGATGAAACAGAAACAGAAACTTAAGCACTTATCATATAGCTTTTTAAAAATGTATTCATTTTTTGTCATATTTTGTCATTATTTCTTCAATATTCTACCTATACATAGCATTCATATTGTATCACATATTAAATGTAAATACAAAATTTAAAATGCAAATGTACAAGACAATGTACTAAACACAACGTGTGATTCAAAGTATAAAAGAAGTCCTTACAAGATCAGGCTATGAAAGTAATTCATAGAACAACAAAATACACTTATTAAAATATTACTAATATTGGGACTAGAAAGATGGCTCAGTGGTTCAGAATACATACCGCTCAATTCCTAACCCAAGTTCAATTCCTAACACCCATGTCAGGCAGCTCACAACCACCTCTAATTCTAGCTCTAGGGGGACCCGGTATTGCTGGTCTCCACAGGCACCTACAATTTCATCCACATACCCACACAGACACACAAATACACATAATTCACATAATTTAATATTAATAAAAATGAAATCTTTAGAGTATTACTGAAATAGATACCTGTTTTTTTGGTGATGTAGGTTTTGCTTTTCTTGTTTCCTGTAGAGATAATGCTGGCCGACTGGCCTTATGAAGGACAGCCAAATCTTGCATGATTGAATTCAAAGCTTGCTGATCATCTAGGTATTTTTAAAAGAACACATACACAAAACTGTGATTTCAACATATATTTATCATAGACATCAAGCAGAATTTATAATGGAATTTAATTTAAAAATGAGTTAATTGGACTGGAGAGATGGCTCAGTAGTTAAGAGTGCTTGCTGCTCTTTCAGAAGATTCAAGTTTAGTTCCCAGCACTCACACTGAACAGCTTACAACCACCTGTGACTACAATTCCAGAGAATCCTGTGCACTCTTCTGGCCTTTATGGGCACCCACACACATATGAAACATACTCATAGATAAAATAAATCTGTTGCTGCTGTTTTTGCTGCTGTTGGAGACAGGGTCTTTCTATGTAGCCCTGGCTGTCCTGGAACTTACTATGTATATAAGGTTGGCTTTGAAATCACAGAGATCCACCTGCCTTTTTTATAAAATAAAATGTTGTGTGACAAGTAAATTAAAAAAAAAAAAAAACAAAAAAACACCTCTGGGAACAACTAACATCAAACTGCGTAAGACTCAAGCTCAACATAAACTAAGTGTCCACATGAGACATTTATTTTTGTTTTAAATATTTGTTATTGTATTTGTTATTTTGTATTATTGTATTATTTTTAATTGTGTGTATGTATGTGTTTGTGTATGGATAAGTGTATATGAGTGCAGATGCCAGAGATGTCAGGTCCCCTAGAGCTGGAGTTATAGGTGGTTGTAAGCCATCTAATGTAGGTGCTGGGACAAGAACTCAGGTCTTCTGGAAGGGCAGTATGTGCTCTTCACTGCTGAGCTCTTTCCAAGCCCTACACTAGGCATTTATAAGGGAAGTAAATGTCATTCTAATTCATTTAGTGATTTAACATCCTGAGTCAAAACAGCCCAGCTAGAACAAATTCTTATCTACAACTCCCAAACAAAACATTAGATGTCAAAATCTTAATAAATGAGGGGAAAAAATAAACCTTGTATAAATATCATCTTCCATAAGCATTTATATTCAAAATGCAGACTTCACTTTTGAGATGTGTTCCTGTTGCTGATACTTGGAGGAAGAAACAGAAAAGCTCCCTCTGTGGACACTGCCTACTAATACTCTAAAAGGTTCTCTCAAAGTTCTTCCAAAGACTACAAATATAAAAGTATTTATCAGGCTGGAGAGATGGCTCAGTGGTTCAGAGGACTGGCTCCTCTTCCAGAGGACCCAGGCTCAATGCCCAACATCCACACGGCAGCTCACAACTGTCTGGGACTCCAGTTCCAGGGCTTCTGACACCCTCACACAGACATATATGTAGACAAAATATCAATGCACATAAAATAAACAAATAAATCATTAAAATAAGTAAATAGAAGTATTTATTATCAAAGACTAATAGCAATGTAAACAACAACGTGGAGCTGGAGAGATAGATCAGCAGTTAAGAGCAATGGCAAATGGTCAATCCAAAACTATAACCACATAAAAAGTACTTCAACTCAAAACTGCTTTGCCTCGCTATGGTTTTGGTGGCACCTGTGACTGAATACAGGGCTTCACATAGGCTAACTATTCAAACACTCTACTTCACCCTAAGCCTTAAAATCCATTAAGTAAAATATTAGCTAAATCTCCTATATCACATATATAAATATATTGTATCACAAATTCTAAATAAGCCGGGCAGTGGTGGTGCACGCCATTAATCCCACCACTCAGGAGGCAGAGGCAGGCGGATCTCTGTGAGTTCGAGGCCAGCCTAGTCTACAAAGCGAGTTCCAGGAAAGGCGCAAAGCTACACAGAGAAACCCTGTCTCGAAAAAAACAAACAAACAAAAAAATTCTAAATAAAGTGTATTATAAGATATTTCTCCCTCATCCTATTCTTTAGTTATAAATGTTTTTTAAATGCTTTTAGCTTAAACTTACCCATGATGACAACCAGCTCAATAATTTGGGGAAAAGGACAATGGTTCTCTCATCAACATTCTTTATTGCCTTAAAAGGAAAGAAGACAAACACATTAATTAATAAAAAACCAGAAAAAGCCGGGCGGTGGTGGCGCACGCCTTTAATCCCAGCACTCGGGAGGCAGAGGCAGGCGGATCTCTGTGAGTTCGAGGCCAGCCTGGGCTACCAAGTGAGTCCCAGGAAAGGCGCAAAGCTACACAGAGAAACCCTGTCTCGAAAAACCAAAAAAAAATAAAAAATAAAAAAAATAAAAATAAAAAACCAGAAAAGGCAACCACAAAAAGGAAAATAATGGTACAACTGACACTAATGAAAGATATGTGTGTATACACTAGAAATAATTTGAGTTTTTCAGAATACCTAACGTTAGGACCTGATTTTGTAGGTACCCTTCCCTAACACACTAAACTTCCAGGACCTAAGAAAAGTAGATGATCAGCAGCAAACATATTGTTTGTATAAACAGCTTTGACACAACGAGCCCTTAGCACAACCCTCCTCAAATCTCAGCTCCCAGGTGCCATTTTGTAATCAGGACTTTCTAACAGCATGCATTCTTTCTGCCCCTTCTTTCTATGAAAACAGCAACTTCTATGTTTAGGTTATGATCCACCTATTTAGACACTTAGCAAAAACAATGAAAATGTACTTAGTACTTTAATCAACTGACCTTTCCTGAAACCATACTGTTCTGAGTTACATCTTTAAGTGCACTACTATGCCAGAACCTTACCAAAACATACGAAATTTAGAAAGATAGGTACCAAAACACCAGCACAATACTTGTATATTTTCAGCATCATACAGAGCCAAAGTTCCAGGAACAGAACACCCCAGAGCTCCTGTGTTCTATTCCTTCAGTCATTTCAAACACTGCAGGGCTGCTCTTCGTTACCATTCCATGTTTATATCTCCCACACGCACACACACACACACACACACACATACACACTAGATTTGTGTAGTCACTGATTAATTTTTTTTTGCCAAGTCTTATGATGATTATTCAATGACTTTCTATGTCTTCTTCTGTGCTGTTATGGGAAACCTCCATTCTGAAAATCTACTTTGTTACAGAAGCACATATCTTCAATAATGTCTCCAAACAAACAGACAAACAAAAAGCCTATATAGTTCTGGGCATGGTAGTACATGCCTTTAATCCAGGCACTTAAGTGGCAGAGGTAGGCAGATTTTTTATAAGGTGGAGGTCAGCCTTGTCTGCAAAAAGAGTTCCATACTATCAGAAGTTGTTTTCCAACTTCTTAATTGTTTGAATTATGATTTTCCCCTTCTTCCCCCAACCTCTCTTGAAAGAAAGAAGGGAGGGAGGGAGGGAGGGAGGGAGGGAGGGAGGGGGTTCTGCAAATGAACTGAGGCAAATATCTAATAGCTATGTAACTTAGTAATTGGGTACTTGATAATTTGTTTTCTTATATAATAAGTAAAATAGCAATGTGTATTTTTCAACCATATTATTTATATTGCCTGGGAATATATGATTATAGTTCTATGGGGGAAATAATTTCTCAGTATTTCACCAGCTTGTAAAACTAAGTTTAAGAGCTTACACATATAAACAAACAATGAAATGTTGTTTCATATTAGTAAAAGGAAACAAAATATCCATTAGCACTTAATCACCACTCTCCACATGCACCCTAGTCTGCTTCAGAATCTCGTCTCCCCATGGCTGTGACATGGGCATGCCATTTCGAGTTTCACTTCGCACTACCGCTCTTTTCATCCTATCAGACTTCGAGGAGCATCCTTTCCTGTAACAGCCGCTACCGACAAGCAAACTGACAATCCCCAAATGTGCTCTGGTGTCCAGATGGAACTCAGCTTTCCACTACCTAAGTACTACCGTTGTCAGCCACCTGCCGAGGACGCCAAAAAGTCCAGGAGGCTTCTCTGAGTCTCCAGATTAATTATGTGAAAAGGCTGCTTTATTTAACATCTAATTTATTACACAATTATAATCTCTGACATAGAAATATGTTGAGAAGATGAGGCTCTTGGTCATTAATTTTATCTCTTATTTACAGGATTTCCTCACAAGATTGTCAGATTATCAAGATGGAAAACCTCATAATCACAGGACATTGAAGCAAGTACACAGAAGCATTTGGGGGCAATTTTGCACAAAAACAAATAAATGCTGTTTTGATTCTACCTAAAAATCTTAAAATTCCTAAAGAGAAGCAATATAAACAAGGTCCAGAAGTGACACACTGGAGAAATAGTATACAATGTCATTAATTCTTCTGCCATAGTTTATATTCAAGGAGATGAAAGAGAGGCGTTAAGTGGCTTAGAAGTTTGTTTTATGTTTTGGGTTTTGTTTTGTATTGATATGCTTTGTTTTGTCACCCTAGGGATTGAACCTAGGGCCTTGCAAATGCTAAGGAAGAGATCTACCACTGAGCTACATCACTCATGCTACAAAAAATCCAATAGAAGGTCTACATATGAACACCACACACAAATAAGTAAATGTGATACAAAATTGAAAAAAAATCATATATAAAGGAACAGCAGCAAGGATGAACAGTAAGAATATCTTTAAACCACCTAAAAAACTACCAACCCCAAGCACCCTTCCCAAAGACAACAAGGGAAAGAAAAAAAAGAAGACAAAGCCCTGCCAACCTGGAAGTCTAGGTTGTACAGAGAGGGTGTGGGCACAAGCACACACACACTGAGAGAACAGTGCACGGGTACAGGCCGGAGGACAGCTGGCAGGAGCTGCTTAAACTTTGACCTTGTGCAATCCTAGAACCTGGAACCAACTTCTCAAAAATAAGGGAGAATAACTGTTAAAAATAAGAGAAAAATAAAGATGTCCAGACATTAAAAATTAAACAAAACAACCTAAAGGAACTCACAACCAGCAAACCTCCAATGAAGAACAAACAAGTCAAGAGGTTCATTTGAGCAGGAAAGCTGAAGCAGTGGCTCGGCATTAGGACCACTTCTCCTTGCGGAAGGAACCCTCTGGTTCTACTGTACGTAGTTCTAGGGAGAATGACCCTCAGAGGCTTGTGTGCATGCTTAGTCCTTAAATGATACAAACCTGGGGGAAGGATTAGGTGTGGCCTTACTGGAGGAGGTTGTCACTGGGAGTGAGGTTCAAAAGCCCAAGTCATCCCCAGTTAGCTCTCTCTCCTCTCCCCCACCTTTCTCTGTGTGTCTCCTGTGGATCAGATGTAAGCTCTCAACTACTGCTCTGGCACCATGCCTGCCTGCTGCCATGGCTCTCCACCATGATGGTTATGGACTTGCCCGATGAAACTATAAATAAGCCCCCATTTTTTTTTAAGTTTGCTTGGTCAAACAAAAACTTCAGCAGTAAGCATGTGTGTGTGTGTGTGTGTGTGTGTGTGTGTGTGTGTGTGTGTGTGTGTGTGTGTGTGTGTGTGTGTGTGTAGACACACATATAATAAAAGGGAGGATAGACTCTTAGGCATTGAAGACAAGATACAAGAAATGGATAACTTGGTCAAAGAAAATTTTAAATATAAAAAAATCCAAACACAAAATGTCCAGGAAATCTGGAAACCCATGAAAAGACAAAAATTTAAGAATAATAGCAATAGAGGAAGGAGAGAAGCACAGGTTAAAGATACGGAAATTATTTTCAACAAAATCATAGCAGAAAATTTCCCTGACCTAAAGAAGGTGTTTATCAAGAAGCACACAGAACACGAAACAGACTGGACCAGAAAAGAAATTCCCCATGATACATAATAATCAAAACACTAAATGTACAGAACAAAGAAGAACATTAAAAACTGGAAAGGAAAAAGACCAAATAACATATAAAAGCAAACCTATTCGAATAACACCTGACTTCTCAATGAAGACTCTAATAGCCAGAAGGGTCTAAGCAGATGCTCTACAAACTCTAAGAGATCACAGATGCAAGCCCAGATTACTGCATCCAGCAAAACTTTGTATCATAATAGATGGAGAAAGAAAAGCATTCCACAATAAAATCAAATTTAAGCAGCTCTATCTATAAATCCAACCCTACAGAAGCCTCTAGAAGGAAAACTTCAACCTGAAGAGGCTAACCACACCCAAGAAAACACAAAGAATAAATAATCTCAGACTAGTTAATTAAAAGAAGGGGAGAAAAAAATCCACACTACCATAACAACATAATGTGAATCAACACTGCTCATTTATAATTCTCAACATCAGTGGTCTCAATTCCCCAATAAAAAGACACAGACTAATAGACCGGATTAGAAAACAGGATCCATCATGCTGCTGCATCCAATAAACACACCTTAACATCAAGGATAGACATCACCTCAGAGTCAAAGGATGAAAAAGGATATTCCAAGCAAATGGATCTAAGAAGCAAGTAATTTTACTATCTGACAAATCAAACTTCAAACCAAAACTAATTAGAAGAGACAGGGAAGGTCACTACATACTACTCATCAGAAGAAAATCCAACAAGAAGATGTTGCAGGGTTTTTTGTTTTTTTGGTTTTTCCGAGACAGGGTTTCTCTGTGTAGCTTTGGAGCCTGTCCTGGATCTCACTCTGTAGACCAGGCTGTCCTTGAACTCACAGAGATCTGCCTGCCTCTGCCTCCCAAGTGCTGGGATTACAGGCATGCACCACCACTGCCTGGGTGATATTGCATTTCTTAAAATCTATGCACCAAACACACAAGAACACCCACGTTCACAAAAGAAACACTACTACAGCTTAAAACACATATCGACCTTCACACAGTGAAAGCGTGTGACTTTAATAATCCACTCTCCCCAATAGACAGATCATTCCAACAAAAATTAAGCAGAAAAAGGCTGGAGCTACCTGACATCAAAAGCCAAATAGACCTAACATATTTAGAGAACATTTTACCCAAACACAAAAGAATACACCTTCGTCTCAGCAGCACATAGAACTTTCTGCAAAATTGAACACGTACTTGGACACAAAGCAAGTCTCAACAGATTAGAAGACTGAAATGACGCCAGGCAGCCTATCTGAGCACCATGTTATAAA